ATTTCTCTAGTCCACTAATTTTGTAACTGGGCCAAAGAATGCAGTAAGATTTGTCTAGCATAATCTGTTTAACAAACCCATGTTGGCTTTTAGTAATGACTTTGTTTGCCTCTAGATGCTCGCTGATTATATTTTCCAGGATCTTTCCAGGTATTGAGGTCAGGCTGATAGGTCTGTTGTTTCCTAAATCTATTTTTATTTTTTTATTTTTTTTATTTTTTTGAAGAGAGGAACTACATCAGCTCTTTTCCAGTCCTCTGGTAGTTCCCTAGTGCTCCAGGATCTTTGAAAAAATATAGTTCAGTGGTTCTGAGATCACATCTGCCAGTTCCTTGAGAACCTTGGGCTGTAATCCATCTGGTCCTGGTGATTTGAACTCTTCTGGGCTGGATAAGTGCTCACTTACCATTTTCTTGCCTATCAAGTTGTGTTTCTAATCTATTTTTATGGTACTGTTTTTGATAAGTTGGACTGTTTGCTTTTTTATTTTTTTGACTTTGGTCACAAGCCTTAGTTCATTTTGAGCCTTAACTTTCTTTACCTCATCTTTGCAGGCTCGTACTATTTGCTAATATTCTGCTTTAGTTATGTGCCCCTCTTTCCACTTTTTATACTTGTCCCTCTTATCTTTCAATTTATCAGAGAGTTCTTTATGCAGCCATGCTGGTTTCTTGTGAGAGCTATTATTTTTCTTCTTTGTTGGTATTGTGCTGGACTGGGGTATTTTTAAAAAAAAAAAAAAAATTTTTCCCAAGCTTCTTGTTTCCCCTTGAAGATTCTCATCCATGGAATCCCTCCCAAGCCCTCTTTAAGTTTATTGAAATTAGCTGTCTTAAAGTCCAAGACTCTAGTTTGACTGTGTTCTATTGTCATGTGCTTCCTATGCACCGTAGTTAGATGACTAGTAGAAAGTTCATCTATTTCCCCTTTTATATTAACCCAAATGCATTCAAGACATTTTTCATCATTGTTGTGCCCTATTTCTGTAGATATGTAATTATTTCTTATATAGAGAGAAACTCTGCCTCCTCTTTTATTTGGTCTGTTTCTTTTAAACAATTGAAATCCCTCTAGCTGAGTGTTCCATTTGTGGGTTTTATCCCACCATGTTTCTACAATAACAACTATATCATATTTGCCCTCATTCTTTATGACTGACACCTATGCGGTAGTGCACTTTGTGTGACGCTATTAAAAGCTTGATTTTGCTTGATAGCAAAATTGATATTCTTGTCCATACACACATCTATGTTACTTACACTGCTAACCCTGTAATTTTTGATTGCTGGGGACAGGGATGTTCCGTATCAATTAACTCACTGTCCCTTGTTTAGTTTAAATATTCCTCCAGAAAATCTGTGAGTTTATTGCCAAGTAACTCAGTCCCTTTCTTTGATGAATGCAAACGATTTCTTTTGTACATTGTTTCATTGGAATACCATTTCATGGTATCCAAAATTGTCATTTCTGATTTTTTGAATCAGTGTCTGTTGTTGGGTTAATTTCCTTCTCAATTCTGTCTAAAAGGTGTTAATTTTATTCAGGGGGAATCCAGTGTTAAATTACTTTATTGTTGTGTACCTTTGCTGTTTTATTCTAATCCTGTAAATCCTAATTGCTGTTAGCCAGTGTGTGCATTCCTTATAGCCAGTGTGTGTTAAGTGTTTGTGAGTCAGACTAGTTTGTATTGGGTCCTTCTGGTATTTGCCAAGATATTTTCTCTTTGGAGGGAGGAGGAGATGTCTGCCTGCTGGGTCCTGCCCCAAGTTTTGGAAAATCATTCTACAATGTGTTGTAAATGAGTTTGTGTTCTAAATGGGTTTATCTATCTATCCTTTTCCTGAAAAATGTGTGTCCATCTACAAGAGCCTTTTGAAGCTCAAGTCTGCTTGTGTGGGGAAATAATTTTCTTAAGTTACTTTTCTTATCCTATCACTTATTGGTGAAACTACTATGAAGCTTTCCTGAAACATAAGCATTTTTCAATCTCTAAAACAATGTGGTCTATTTTAGAATAAATGTTCTCCTGCCTCTGGAAAATTGCATACCTTAAAATATTAGGCTTTTAAAATTATTTGGAGTTTTCAGCATTCTCAAACTGCCTAGCATTTTTTTTCCTCTCAAGTTGCAAGTTCTTGTCCTTAATATATTGCAAATGTTCAAGTTCAAAAGTGAAACATTTCATTTTGTTGTTCTCTTACCAGAATCCAGGTTTTTCTTGTCCTCAATCTGTGATTGTCCCCATTTGTTTGCCTGCCTGTTTCTTTGACCTCTGCAATATTGATGCCTTTTTAAACTGCCTGCAAGCTACCACCCTTCCAATTCTTTTCTTGACCTTTGTTCTCCATACCTTTTGTTTGCCGCTCCTGGGAGAGTCCACCCAGAAAGCTGGGGAGACCTTGTTCTTGTATCTTTCAGCCCTGCAATCCTCCCCCAAACCTTTGAAAGCAGAACACACAGACCCAGATGCTGCCTCCATCCATTTGAGCCATGGAATTGGGTTTTGAATCCAGCCATCCATTAAAAAGCCACCGTGCAATCTGAGTGGAACATCTTCCCAAGTCCTACCATTCCCCCAGATGCCTGTGAGAGCTGCAGAAGGAAGGAGTCCTGGAGCCACTGGTCCCCATGTGAAGCCTCAGAAGAGATAATTAGACTGTGGGGGGAGGGTGGAAACTCATTGTAAACTTTTCTTTCTTGCCACATTTGAATGGTAACAAGCCAGTTGAATATTAATGGAGAAATGGCATTTGGGAATAGTTGGTACAACAAGTACTGAACACCTTGGACTTCTATCTGGTGGGAGGGAAAATTTATCCAGAATGTTTGTATTGCCTGTTTTGTAGAAATAGCTGCACATACACATTCAGAATCACATTGAGTCTATCCCCTCCACCTACCTTTAGTAAAGTTCCCCAGACTGATTTTTGCTCTATTGCACCAAAGCTTTGTAGGAACAACTTCCAACAGATTCCAAGGGGGAGGGAACTAGGCCCCCTCAGTTGATTTGTAATTCTTATGCCCTGACTAAGGAAGCAACAGGAAAGAGATCCCAGACCTCAGCCCTGAATATTTTGCACTGTTGGGCTCAGATTGGGATTCCTAGAGCTCACTGTGTGCAATTTAAGAAAAAAATTTAATAGCCTGGCATACTGGCTAACCTTAATTTGACATTATAAACCTGGATGCACTGAACTAAGACCTAAGGCAGGAAACAACCCCTGAAAACGGGCAGCCATGTACTGAGGAAAAACATGGCTGTGAAGAATTTTGGAAGGAATGTGCAAACCTGACTGGAAGCTAAAAGTGACATCCAACATTTGAAAATGATTGGCACAGAATATTGGACACTATAAATTTCTTTTCCATCTAACAAATTTTTTGCCGTGACTTTTAGAACTTTATGGGTTGCAAGCTCCCCTTTTTGGAGCCACTGAAGGGATCCTTTTCTGCTGCCCCCATTAATGTCTTATTTTTTTGCTTAACAGTTTAAAAGCTTGTTTACTAAGTTTCCCTGACCAGATCAGTTTTAATGTTGTGCCAATAAGTATGTCATACATTCTCATACTTAAAGCATAAAGCAGGGATTGAGGGAAGTTAGCCCAGAGAAGGAAATATTAAAAGGTAAATTAAAAAATGTACCAATGAAACAATAACAAAAATACTGATTAAAAGGGAAAAGACATTGTATTTATTTATGTAAGTGTTTATATGGCCACTCAACTCAGACAATGGGATCCTGGGTGGCTTACAAAAAGGGAAACCACAATCAACCCATACAAAACAAGATAGAATATCTCATTAAATATTGATCATTAAATATCACTAACCTATTATTTTCGATATCTACAATTGTATTGTTGTCAAGTTGCATTTTTCTGCAAAAATGATCCAAATGATCAAGAGGAATATTTTTACTAATGGTTTTGAATATTTTCTCCAGGACATTTTCTAAAATAAACACATTATAAATATTAGAAAATAGCAATTTGATATTGCAAATTATTTAGCCTATAAACACAATTCTGGGAAATGTGGCTCTAATAAGAGTAAATCAAGATCACAATTCAATATGTATCTGAACTGAAAAGAGTGTAGGATTTGAGACTGTATCCATAACTAGATATGTAATTGTGGATGTATTAATATAGCCAGAATGGAGTGTAGAGGCAATTATTAATTTGTAGGTGCTTTTTTTTTAAAAAAAAAAAAAAAAAGTGCCGGAACTCACACATGTCATACAACCTGCCTTGCCTACCCTACAAAGTTTACCTTTGTAGTTGAAAAAAAAAACCTTTAATTTTTAGTGTATCTAAAAGACTAGGATTTTGTTCAAGGTAAGTTAATACTACTGTTACCATGCACTCTGTGGCTTTAAATTACAAGAAGGCATTTTATTAATCTTTTGGGACATTTACCACTGGCATACCCATTTAGTTTAATGAATGGAAATGTCAGCTTTCTATGTGGAATGAAATTGGCCCAATAAAACAAAATTTGGTTGCTTGTAAAAGATTGAATTATTTTTAAGAAGTTGTCAAACAAGGTGGAAAAATTTACATGAGTAGTTTAATATGGATATTGACTTGAAACAAATTAAAGTTGAAACTTTGTCAGTCAACAGATTACTTTTAATTTACCTTTAAGTTAAACCCAGTTGATTAAACCTTATACTGTAGGTCTACCTTTACATCTGACCAATACATAATATATATTATTATTAATAATAATACCTCCAAATCACAAGACATTGGCTTTATTCTTATTTTTCCCCTCTGCAGTTTGAATATAAAGTATAAAAGACTAAAAAGAGATTTTCATAGATATCCCAGACTTTGAACTACCCAAAGAACTGAAACAGCAAAGTTTCGCTGTCGGGCAAGCTTCCACCCCAGCCGCCTTTCTTTCCTCTTGTTTCGCCTCTTTTTAACCTTCTGTAAGGGAAGGCAAAAGGCTCACTCATCCTCTTGTGAAAGATCGCCTCCATGTTTATGTGTCTCCCACCACCACCATCAGCTTCTACACCACATGGTCCGACCCAGCCAATCAAGCCACACTCTGGCTGTGGTGCTCCGGCGCCTCATGGCTCCTCCTAGAGGAGGCAGACAGTGCTGGAGGGGACCCCACTCTCATCATACTGCCAGCGGGGCATTTTCAAAAACAAATGAGGGTAGGAAGGGAAACAATAGGAAAAGAACACAACTCTGGAAAATCTGTCGGAAAAAAAAGTGCCAGAACTCCATTCCAGTGCATTCTATGACCAAAAAAAGCCCTGATTTATAGTATCATTTTGTTTGATTTCAGGCTATTGATAGACTATAGTATCTGTTGATAGACTATAGTATAGTGTCTGCTTAGAAAAACATTTTAAATGGAATTGATTTTCCTACTTTGTAATAGATATTGATGTTTGTTTTCTGGGGCCATCCACTCATCTTCTGATAAATGTAAAATGTAGAAGTGAAGAAACAATGGGGAATTTAGGATAGGGTGGGTAGGACCAAATAACAAGCATGAGTCCTGGAAAAGGCCCAAAAAACATTGGGCTGAATTTTGAGATTATTAGACCTATATGCTACTCTAGGTACTTGCAATGAACAAATTTATGTTTAATGTAATTTAGGCTCTAGTAGAATAGAAAGTAATTGAGGACGTTCTTTGGGGATGCATTTTATGTGGGAGGGAAAATGCAACCTTTTAAATAAACCACAGCAACAGAATATAAGTCCCTATGCCTATGATTCATAAAGGCTGTTTTTATGCAGGACTAAGGGATTAGAAAAGAAGGCTGAGGAAGACAGCAGATGACAGAAGTCAATAGAGAAAACATCTCTTGGATTAATTTATCAGATATGTATCTGATATCAGATACCAAGCAAGAGAATTGGTTCTTCAACTTGGAAAGCTTTCTAGAAGAAGGAAGGGGTCAGAGATTATTCAAGAAGGTTGAAAGGTTTATTAAGACTGTTGGCGCAAAAACAGGAGAATAGAAACTTCAAACTGCTGCTCTGTAAGTTTATCTCTTTGCTTAGACATTTTATTTTGAATGTTACCTTAGGATCTCAATTTGGACTAGTCTGTTTTGGTTTCAATTTTTCTTTCTGAATGTTCAAAAGATTAGGAGGAATAAAGCTTCAACAGATTCTCTACATCTTTGAAGAATCCAGCATTTGCTTTCTGTAATTTCTAGGTCAGTTCCCTCTCCATTTACAAAGATTTCTGCCATATTTGGTGTCCAAAATGAGATGGAAAAGAGTTTAGTGCAAGCAACTGATCCATTAAAAGAGTATCAAGGAGGATTCCTCAGAGTGTAAATTAAGGTGACTTATGTTGGTACAGCAAGCTATGTCTTTATGTTCAGCAAATACTTAATCTGCAGATACTCATAATTTGCTGCTACATCTTATTGAGGAGGCTCATAACTAGAATATCTTTGAACAATATCTATTATCTATTAATACTATAAAGTCAGCAAATTTCTTCTAACTCATGTGGCTTAATCCATGTGATCAGAGCAATCAAGAAACAAGGGAGGCTCCCTACCTCTCTATCCCATGGTAGATAGGAAAACTCAGAAGCCCAAAGAAAGAGGCATAGTAGGAAGTCTACTGATACTGGGAAATTTAATCTAAACTTACCATCTCTTTGATCAGCATTTTCTAAGTAATGTATGATGGGGAGCAGCTGTTTCCCTTTACAGACTTCCAGAGGAGGCCTGATGAGAGTATTTTCATCAAAATCTATATTCTTTAGTTGCAGAAGAAGGTGCATATCACTAGGCAAGTATACAAGCTTGTTTTCTAGTAAAACAAACAAACAAACAAATAAATACAAAGGGCTGTATTTTTATTCTATTACGTAATTGCCATTTTGAGGAGGTTTCAATCATAGGAATATTAATATTAAGGAACAAATGGTTAAATTGGCATAATTGTGCAAAAATAGTGGGTTGTTATACTACATCAGTCATTTGATTTTTAAAATTTTTATTTTAATTCATTTTTATCATGTTGCAATTGACTCCATTTCATTTATAAGCTGACAAATAATTATAAATATTTCTATTATGTAATAAAAACCCTATACACCCATATTACCCTTTATTTAAGTACACACCTCTCCAGTTATCCAAGCATTGTCAAAATAATATTTGTTGGCTTTCTATTGCAGCTAAATACAAGTTTGTACTTGTTTATACTCATTTTTGTATACTTGCTACATCTGACCTGCATATCACAACTTGATTCTCCGTATTCTCACCAAATTAGGGCCAATCTATTTTCACACCTGAGTATCATTTTCTATGATAATGAATACAAAACTGCTTACCTCTCAGATTCAGATGCTGCAAATTACAGAGTGATGCAAAACTTGAGGGAAGTTCTGTTAAACAATTGTTGTTTGCTATCAAAGTGACCAAGCTTTGTATGTCCCCTATACTTTCAGGTATTTCTTGTAATTCATTGTGAGAAATATCCAGCTCTTTAAGAGATGTCAGCTTTGATATCTCTTCTGTCAGTGATTTTAACTGAAAATAAAAGCCATTAAAAATATTTTTATACCAAAGGATCGTTTTGTTACAAACCCACATAAGAAAATGTTGAGTAGATTCTGCTAAAAGAAGTGCTGCACAACAAAACAAAACAAAATGAAACAAGGATAATGATCCAAATAAGCATTTTTAAAATATTCCCAGTAGAAAAAAATATATACAACTCAGGTTTGACTGCAGAGACTTGGTGCTCTCTGGTCTTTAGGAGTTGCTTCAGATTTCTAGAAGTCAGAGTACATATATAATTTAAGGAGGATTCAATTTGAGGAGGTAAGAGCTTAGAAGATCTCTGAAACATAAGGTGTAATTTTAAAATGGTGAAAAAGTCATCAATCTTGATTGCGCTATTGGGCTTAGCATGCCAGAACATTAGTCATGTTTTTAAAACCTGGCAACTTTAAGATGTATGAACTTCAACTCTCAGAATTCCCCAGCCAGCATGAAGAGTCATAATTTTAAGTAGCTTACCCTTAATCCATTTTTCTGACTCAGAGTTAACTTCTGTAATGATAAAAGTTGGCATATTTCATTTGGAAACGATGCAAACTGGTTGTCTGATAGATTTAAGACTTTTAGCTTTGATAGTTCCTTAATATCTTCAGGAATGAACTGTATTTTGTTTTCAGAAAGATCAAGAACTTTTAAATAACTTAGAACACACAATTCTTTGGGAAACAAAACGAATTTGTTATGGTATAATAGCAGAATCTGAAGACATTGCATTTGGTGCACACTTGTTGGAACAGTGCTTATTTCATTGTTACTTAGATCTAAATAGCTCAGTCTAGAAAGAGTACAAAGGTGTATGGAAAATGATGGCAACTTGTTTTTACTGAAATTTAGATGCTGCAGATTTTTAATAAATGAAATGTCAATAGTTATTTCTGAAATATAATTTCCACTGAGATTTAAGTGACTAAGAGCAGCTAGTGCACACAATCCAAGTGGAAACGCAGCCAATTTATTATAACTTAAGTCAATTTTAATGATTTCAGTACAACTTTTTATTTCAACAGGAATGTACATTAATACATTTCCTGATATTTCTAAAATTAAGAGTTCTTTCATGTATGCTATTTTTTCATCTAACAAGATCAGTTGGTTTCTGTTTAGGTACAATTCCTTTAGATATTTTAATCTGTATAGAGTGGAAGGAATCTCTCTTAATTGGTTGTCATTAAGATTGAGGCATTCTATCATTATACAATTGCAAAGACTGTCAGGAATTATTTTTAATAGATTTTTAGCAAGATTAAGGTCACAAAGCTTTTCAAGGTTTTCCACTTTATCTGAAAGACTTTCTAACTGGTTATTATCCAGCTTCAGTTTTTCAATATGTACCAAATGAAAAAGCTGCACAGGCAAAAATGTAAGCTTGTTGTTACTTAATGAAAAGTCTTTTAAACTTTTGAGTTCTTTGATTTCTTTTGGCAAACTTTGAATCTGATTTTCTGACAAACTAAGCTTATTTAGATTTGGAATGTAACAGACCATTTTTGGAAATATTGAAATGTTACAGGAATTTAAAAGGAGTGTATTTAATTTGTTCATGGTAGATATAGATTCTGGGAGGGTCACATTATTTCCACTGAGCTCTAACATTTCTAGCCTTTCAAGTTTTTCTAAAGCAAAGTTGATTTTTTCAATATTGTTATGACTGAGTAAAAGACATCTGAGTCTTGATAGTTCAAAAAAATTTTGTGGCAATGATGATATTTGATTATAACTCAGATTCAAAGTTCTAAGTTTTTTAAGAAGACAAATTTCAGGAGGTAATGAAGTTAACTGATTTCCTTCCATAGATAGTATTTCCAGGTTTTTCAACAAACTTATCTCTTTTGGTAGGGTCTTTATTTCATTATTGTTTAAATTCAAAAACTTCAACTTCTTTGTGTCAAAAATCCTGGAAGGAACTTCAATGAGCCCTCTTGTATGTAACTGAACTGTAAATTCATCAAGCATCATTTCAAATACTGATTCTTTGGATAGCTTTTGACATACTGTAGCATTTTCTACGGAAAGCAGTAAACTTTTTTTAGCTTGAACTTCAAAAAAATATTGTGGAATTTCAGCTAATCCTTCAGCATATAGATATGCCAGAAGTTCAACGTGTTTTGTATCGACTGTCCAATCTACTGGAACTTTTTTTAGTGATTCTACTTTCTCTGCAGAATATAAACTGCATTTTTCATTTTCTGCATCTTGTAAAGGACCTATAGAACTTTTTGCTTCTGTTTCAGTTTCAGTCTCCTGAAATTCACTTGCCTTTTCCTTGGGCAAACTGCTTGATGATATTTCTGACATTTCCAATGCTTGTGAGATAGTTTCACTTTCATTAGCATTGGTGGGTTCTTGCTGATTTTCTTTCAGCACTTGATTTGAAGAACTTTCAGTTACATCATGTTCTTTAAGAGATTGCATGCTGCCATTTTCAACCTCTTTCATTGACTCCATCTTCATTTATGTGTTCTTCTTTGAAAAAAAGCAGTGTCAGTTGTTACTGCTTATTCCAGCCTTTATTAAAAAATAAAAAAGAAAGAAAATCATAATATAATGGCATGATATAAAAAACAGGATTCAGACAAAATTAGTGAAATAGTAATCAAGCAAAAATATTACTTAGTAGTCGTAACTGATTGAATTTTAGCTGTTTGTAACTGCTTAGAACCATCATGCTTACATTTTAAATAATGTATCTTTTAAAATTAATTTGTAAAAAGATAACAGGTAAGAGAATTCTAATATCACCAGTTTATTTTAAGAACAATAAAACTTATGGTAAAACTGTATGATCTTATTCAGAAAAGGTTTACCCTTTATTTCATTTATGGCTGCAGCTGTGCAATGCAAACCTAAACATACTTCTGAAATAAAGCCAATTCTTGTTCATACCTAGATATTAAGATTTTGCAGTGCTTTGGAAACAAATATTATACCTTTCTACAACTTTTAAAAGACCAATTTCTTTCTTTACTACAAAGAGCTGCCACAGATACTATCTATATACAGTACTACAAAGCATTTTTTTAAAATTGAATTTGAAGGTCTCTGTAGCGATCATACATATAGTGTGATGTCTAGAATATTTGCCATTTCTGTCATTAATATTAAAAAGTTAGAGTATATATATCAAATAGGGCATGTTCTTCTTTTAAACCTCACCTTATAGAATTTCCAACTGCCAAGAGATTTTCAAATTGAAGTTCCAATTTAAAGCAATTCTGATTGGCTTATTTTTCTCACCAAGTCAAAGATTCTGTTTAGATGTAGGATTTGAGTTCTGTAACTTATGAGTTTATCACAAACTGTTCTTCTTAAGTAATTGACAGTCTTTTTCTTTAGCTCTGAGATTATCTTGTGATCTTTTGAATGTATAAACTTCTTTCCTTTAGAAAGCACATCAGTGCAATATTGATCAAAGTGCCTCATATGATTAGATCTTTATTTAACAGTTTAACAAACAAAAATACAGGCCCCTGGGAAAAAGTCTTCTGGATTCACTTTATTGGTATTCACTCTATTGGTATTCTGTTCCATGGTGGAGATGACTAATAAACTAAGAAGATCCCACAAGGGGATCCTTGTGTACTAGTTTTATCCAACTTCAAACTCCTGTTTAAATTTTGGAGATTAGGATGAAAAGAGTAACACATCCATTCTAATTACTGATGTTTTAAATATGGGGAATGTGCTTTTAAATCAAATTCACAATGACCAATATAATGTTTTGTAAAGACAGTCCAATCTGGAATATGATGTAGAAACGTGTCATATGGGCCATTCAAAAAGAGAGATAAAACTAGGTAAGAAATTAAATTCTTGAGAGGGCAAAGCTGGAAAAAAGAATCATTGCTAGTTTGCGAATACAACATGGAATATAAATTTTGTTTAAGTAAATTAATAAAGAACTTTAAAAAACATGGTCTTCAATTCTCTGGCCTGTGACTATCAGCAACAATTCTATCTTATAAGGGCTGCACCTGAGAAACAGTTGCTTAGAGCAGTAGTTCTTAACCTTTTTGAACGAATTGCCCCTTTGAGCCAATGAGGAAGTTGTCATCGCCCCCCTCCCCCAACATAACCTCTCAATCACAATATAGGAAATAATTCTTCAATTTATGCAAACCTTTTTTTTGTTTTCTTTAAAATTGTCATCAGGACATACGATGCAAATAATTTATTTCCAGTCTTTTCCCCATATCTTAACTGTGTGAAAAAGTTTGGTGCCATCCGTCACTTTATTCCCAAACTTTGTGATATATGTATTTCATCATTATTTTATTTATTCAAGACATTTAAATGTAATGACCACTGAAAACAAAACACTGGGAGCCACAAAACCCTTTTGACATCTAAAATGAAGATAACACTGAAGATATCCTTTTTTACCTTTATTATATACCGTATATTCCGGCGTATAAGACGACTTTTGAGAACGATGAAACAGCCTCCGAACTCGGGGGTCGTCTTATACGCCGAATCATAACATTTATTTATTTATTTATTATTTCCGTCGTATAAGATGACGTTCTAGGCATGCGACTCGGTGTCAATCATCTTATACGCCGATGTCGATCATCTTATAAGATGATCGACACCGAGTCGCATGCCTAGAAAGTCATCTTATACGCCGGAAATAACGTTATAAACTACGTTTATTTCCGGCGTATAAGATGACTTTCTAGGCATGCGACTCGGTGTCGATCATCTTATACGCCGGAAATGACGTTATTTCCGGCGTATAAGATGATCGACACCGAGTCGCATGCCTAGAAAGTCATCTTATACGCCGGAAATGACGTCATTTCCGGCGTATAAGATGATCGACGCCGAGTCGCATGCCTAGAAAGTTGTCTTATATGCGACTCAGCGTCAATCGTCTTGCGACCCGGCGTCGAACTCGGGGGTCGTCTTATACGCCAGGTCGCCTAATACGCCGGAATATACGGTATATATCTTCAATGTTATCTTCATTTTAGATATCAAAAGGGTCTCTCTCTCTCTCTCTTTCTTTCTCTCTCCCTCCCTCCCTCCCTCCCTCTCTCTCCCTCTTTCTGCCCTTGGTCTGCCGGTCCTCTTCCTTCACTCAGTGTATGTGTGTGTGTGTGTGTGTGTGTGAGAGAGAGAGAGAGAGAGAGAAGCACTTGCGCTTCCTCTCTCTTTCCTCTCTCTTTCTCTTTCCCTTCTCCCTCTCTCTTTCTCTCTTTCCTCTCCCTCCCTCCCCCCTTCTTTCTCCAGGTGAGGAGAGAGAGAACGAAAGGCATCACCAAACCTTCTCCCGTGCTGCCAGCGTCCTCAGTCAGAACTGGAGCAATGAACTGCCTACTGCCAGGACCAACGCTGGAGCCTCCCGTGCTGCTGGTAGTTCCGTCGTGCTGGAGGAGTTGGGGCCACTCCGCACTGCGTGGCACTCCCGGTGATCCACGACCCACCAGCATTGCCCAGGGAGCAATGCCCCCACCAGCCACCACCCCAGCCCGGACTGCCACCTAGGGGGACAGCAGGAGGAAGAAGAGGAGGAGGAGGAGGGCAAGGAAGTTGGTGCCGGGCCCCAGGAGGAGGCGCTCCCGCGGGTCCAGCTGGGGCTCTTCTGCTGCTGGTTGGAAAATGCCTCCCCCCTCCCTTTCTCTCCCCCCCATCTTCTGCTCATCTCACATTCTTCGCCGACAAAGCAACCGGGACTCCGGCACGCCTTCCCGGCCAGCTGGGCCAACGATCCTATAGCTGGGGATTGCAGGGGCTGCTCTCCCTTGGGGCCACAGCTTGCAGGAAGGCTGGCCCACTCAGCTAGGGCTCTGGCAGGCTGCTCCCAGCAGGGATCCCAAAGCTTCCCCGCATGGTTCTCCGGCCACGTGCACCTCGGACAGGGCCAGCCAGGGAAAGAGACTTCCTGGCGGTGCTTCTTCTAGGGGGCAGGGCACCCAGGCACAGGGCCAATCAGGAGCTTTGCGAGGGGACAAATCCACATGAGAGTCTCTCTCTGCAAATGGCGGAGACTCGGAGCCGCCGGGGAAGGCTCAAAAGTGTCCCCAAAACTTCTCGCTCCATCGCCCCCATATCACCCTCTTTTCGTACCTTCGCCCCCGCATCGCCCCTTTTCATTCCATCGCCCCCCTGAAAAATGAAATCGCCCCCTGGGGGGCAATATTGTCCAGGTTAAGAACCACTGGCTTAGAGTATGTGTTAATTCTTGTAATTTGCTGGTATAGCCAAGTCTTATTTGTTTCCCCATATATAGTGGTACTTTAATATAACATCTTAATATTGGATTTGAAATTGATTTTGATTTTGAAATTGATTTGAAATTAATGTTGGATTTGCCCATAGGATGCCTACCAATCATACCATTAAAAAGTGTTTCCCAACCTCAGCCACTTTCAAGATGTGTGAACTTCCCTGGCTGGAGAATTCTGAGAGGTAACGTTCACACATCTTAAAGTTACTGAGGTTGAGAAACATTGCATTAGAGCAATGACTGCCAACAGGAGTGATTTATCTTATTTCGTCTTATGTCAGAAATGCAGAAACTGGAAAGGGGAAAATTATTAATTTAAATTTTAAAAGATTAAAAACTTTGATAAAAACATAAATTTACACAGTTCTAATCCAATGCTGGCCACATTGATGGTAGTTATATTTATGACCAAGTCAGAGAAACACTGTTGAAGAAACATTGCACTAGAGCAATGGCTGCAAACAGGAATGGTTTACTTAGGAGTTCAGCTATTTTCACCAAAAAGGGTGAAAATGTAGAATTTCAGCATTCTGGTACTAGAATTCCTTCATTCTTTAACATTGCTCAATTGTCTTGACTGATACATTTTGACCTCTGAGTAAGAATAATAAAAGACATAGGAAAATACCATATGTGAGCTGCACAATATTTAGCAGTGGCTCTCCAGACCTCAGGCAGAGATCCTTGACTCAATGGCTATATAACATTTTAGTGTGAGATACTAAAGATTGATTTTTGACTTTCTGCACAGAAAATTACACCAAATGACTGAGTTCTATCTTTTGTTTGGATAAGAGCCGGATATTCCTACTATACTACATTTCATAGGAGTTGCTAGTAGGATGATCCATATGGGTGAAAATGACATACTGTAATTAGAACTTATGTACTTAAATTAAAGGGAAGGAATGTTCGTTAATCCTAGTTGCTGGAGAGATACATTATGCCACCCATAAATGACATAAAATGACATCCACAAATGATCTAAAATGACAAAAAAAATTGGAAAGTTCATCCACAGCATTTGTAGTCCATTAAACCTAAGTTTCATTATAAAATTAATTTTATAAAGGAACTTTCTATTATCACATAATAATAATAACAATAACAATAATAAAGTTGGAAGGGACCTTGGAAGTCATCTAGTCCAACCCCCTGCTCAGGCAGGAAACCCTACACCATTTCAGACAAATGGCTGTCCAGTCTCTTCTTAAAGACTTCCAGTGTTGGAGCATTCACAGCTTCTGGAGGCAGGTTGTTCCACTGGTTAAGGAAGTTTCTCCTTAGTTCTAGATTGCTTCTCTCTTTGGTTAGTTTCCACTCGTTGCTCCTTGTCCTGCCTTCAGGTGCTTTGGAAAATAGCTTGACTCCCTATTCTTTGTGGCAGCCCCTGAGATATTGGAACACTGCTAAATATTGACCAAATCATATTTTAATCAAACACTTTTATTTAAAAAAACATTTCTTGAGTTTATGTACAAATATTTTTAAATGCTGTATTTCATAAACATAATTTAAAAACAGAATTATTATCTGATACAGCAAGAGTATATAAGGACTGTATATTTCAAATTGTATGTAAAGTAACTCTTGTTGACATGTTCCATAAATTATTCAACATATGTAATATCTTTCAGATACCAATGTGTGGCCAATTACATTGAACTAATGCTGCCCTAGAGATTCCCATATCTCACAAATTACATATAGTTTATGCATCTGTGTATTTATTTATGTGAGATGGATGTTGCACCATTCATTTTGGAGCTCAGGAAGGTATAATGAGGGCACCCCCTCCTATTTTTTCTAACAAGAGTCTGTGAGGTAGACTAGCCTAAGACAAAAATAATGAAATTATGCAGTCAAATTCTCTGGTTGTGGACAACTTAGAATATGTATCTCCCATTCATAATCCAACATTTTAACCACACCACCAGAAATAAGAAGGAATTTAGAAAAATCCCATGCAAATGTTTCATAGATGTTTTAATAATTAGCATTCACTGTATATTGTCACATTAAATGTTATGATTTTGAAGGATTTATTAAATTCTGAGATTTATATTGAATTGCCGGTGCCTTGAGGTTTTCCTAGAGCAGTGATGGCAACCTTTTGGGCTCAATGTGTCAAAAACTCAGAAAAATGCCTAACCTGACTCTACTTGTATGTCACACACACCGAATAAAAGAGATACAATTGTCTTCCTCTCTCCTGACGCATCTAGGCCACTCTGAACAGTGGCACTCAGCAGCAGCACCAAGACTGGGCCTGAAATAGAGGCCCCGGCTTTGATTTCAGCAATAGTGCCATAGGTGCCACTCATAAAGCCTGCCTAATCCTGTTCTTCAAGAAACGTGAGCCTTGGGGAGCAGTGCGATTGTCCCCATAGCCCAGAGGTCCCCAGAATCTGCCATGTGCTCTTATCTTCAGGCAGTATACTTTTTTCTTGATAGGCCCCTGTGCACCTACCCAAGGTTGCTCTAGGTTGCATAAGGCCTTCATTCTTGAAGCAGCTTTGTAGAATGCTTTTCCATGCCTCTGCAGACTCCGAAAACCAAATGAAACCATTCTCTAAACCCCATTTTTATGCGATGTTTGGAGACTCTAAAGCAGAACTGGGCATTTTACAGCCTGCAAGCCACCTGCCCTTTGATTATCCCTGTTTGGTCCCTGAGAGGGGTGAAACAGTCCCTGTTTCTCCTGTGGTCTCTTGGGAAAATTAATTGCCCATCTTTGCTCTAAAGCCCACACAAGAGCACAGCCCTTTCACATGACATCTAATGGCTTTGGAAGTTGCATAAGAGCACACCCCATTCTCTCTGTCTCTACAGCCTCCAAAAATTATGCTTTTGAGAATAGTTGTTGATGTTGGTGAACACTGGAGTGTCATCCAAAACATTGTGACATATGACCTTTGACATGTGTCATAAGTGCTCCATTACTGTTATAGAGTGAAACCTGCAGTTTATTGTGCAATCTAGAAATAGAACATATTCGTAATAACACAGAACAGAGTTAAACCCATTTAAAACATGTTTACTCAGGTATGTTGTTTATTCTTTAATTTCTTAGTGCAGTGTTTCTCAAGCTTCACATCTTTAAGATATCTGCACTTCAACTCCCAGAATTCCCTAGTCAACATGTCTGTACCTAGAATTATAGCCTTGATTTTATTTCCTGAATTTCTGTTAATTACATGCACAAATATTATTCTTATAGCTTTACAAACCAAGTACTTTAAATGATTATATTACAATAGTGCTGTACAACATAAATTTACAAATGAACATGGCATTTTTGTATGACCTCCATCAGGCAATGTCTTTTATCCTGTTCAATTAATCAAACTGGAACATTTGAATGCAACTGCTCCCCATTTAATTTAATCACTTCTCTCAGGTATCAGCTGACTGCTTAGCTTCATCAGAAGTTTTATGACAAGACCTGCCTATGAAAGAAAAATACATTAAATAGTAATAAAAGCCATGTAACAACAACAACAACAATAATAAAGGGACCTTGGAGGTCATCTAGTCCAACCCCCTGCTCAGGCAGAAAGCCCTATACCATTTTAGACAAATGGTTGTCCAGTCTCTTCTTAAAAGAGACTGTATTCTAACATTTTTATTTATTTAGCAAATCCATATGGGTGTCCATCTTACGTATGATTTTGGGTAGCATACAATGAAGCAATAGTTAAAACAATTCTTAAAACACGGAAACATGAAGAAAAATAAAATCATAAAAAAGCCAAAATTGTAGGAGAATAACAATCACCTAACTACAATCACAACTACCTTGCAGGTTCCCTGGGGGATCCCTAAGGATGATAGTAAAATATTTCAAGGGGTTTCCAAAGGTTAAAGGGATAGACAAAAGCTAAGTGAGCAGAGTTCCATAACTGTCTCAAGGATAAACTTGATAATTGAGGATTGTGCAGATGAGCATGCTACATACAACTTTAGGCAATATTGCCAATGATTCAAAACCCAGTCTTCTTTGATGAGTAGCACAAAGATACCCCACATATTTGGGCATAACAAGACAAGCACATTGTGTCATCTGCTGTTTTAAGTGGAGTTTTCTTTCCAAATTCTTTCATTTCCAGTAGGTAAGCTAGAATATTACTGTCAGCAGCTAGAATATATGCACGCCAAACAGTTTGGAAGGAAAAGCAAAATAATGTAAGCTGTTTAAATGCTGGACATCATCTATATCCTCTCTGTTGAAAGTAAAGCCAGGGTTTGTTTGCATTTTGATTAATATTAAATTATGCAAATTGAAATCTTTTCTAGAGCATAGTTTGGCATTTGGTAAGTATAAGGTTATATAAAATGCCATTAACAATTTATCCAGCCTTAACCACTCAAGTGCTTCCAAACAGCTTCATAATCTATAAGCCTTGCAAAGCAAGCCTGTACATGCAGACTATTTGCATGAACTATTCTGAATTCATTTTTATTATTATGTTTTTATAGTTGAGAATATTTCTATACTGCTGCCAGAACATGTCTGATCGAATGATTATATTAACTTTACGTTAACCTAATAATGTTTGCTCCAGTCAACTATACATTTCTAATTTGAGAAGATTTACATTAAGGAATATTAGAGGGAGGACACTGTGTAATTTAAATACCTGCTTGGTGTGAACTATAAAGCTCATTTTATTTTCCAGACTATGTATTTGAAAACAGGTATCGCCATCTCCCAACTGCCACATAAAGCAACCGTATTTTAAACTTATGAGCAAAGCCTGGAATATAAAAAATACAAAAGAAAAAAAAATGACAAATCAGAATTTGTCCTGAATTGAGATAAGTTAATCATTCAAGATTTTTTGGAATAGGGTCACTAAAACACATCTAATAAATAATAGCAACAATGACAACAACTTATCACATTAAAATAAAACAAAATATGACTTCTTGTTCCGGGTTGCGGCATGTGCAGTTGAGCGGAGAGACTCCTCTCTTCGCTGGCTGCTTTCCCTCTGCTGGTAGACCCTTAATCAGGGTGAAAAGTCGCCCTGGAGGGGCGAGTACCAATGAGGAGGACTCTCGTCAATCGTGTTTGGAGGCGGCAGCTCCTTCCATGGTCCGAGGCAGCTTCTCAGGGCTGACGGAGAAAAGATCGGCCAGTAACATGGCCGATCATTTAGCTGCACCACCCAAAAGTCAAAAGAACATCTAAGCGTTAAGAAACCACCGTGGATGATCTGGATGAGACCTTTCCCTCTCTCTCTTTGCCCTAACTACTCTCCTGTTAAAAGTCTTCTGGAATTATTTCCCTACTTTGAAAGAGCTGCCTTTGCCCATCTGGGAAAAAGAGCTTTAACAAAAGAAAAAACAAAGTTAACTTTTATTGACTATTTTTATTTTTGGTCATTTTGGGGCCCTGGAAAAATCCCTATCATAGAACTTTATTATTATATCTATTTTCTAAGCTGGAGAATATTGTTTTCCTATTTCTTGGATTTATTTTTTTAAAGGGATAAATCTTTATTGTTTGAAAAAAGAAACTTTATTGGAAGCCGGAAAAGAGATTTCACACCTTACTGAGGGCATCTTGTGGCGAAAACTATTACTGCAACTACATTTGCTCTTTGTTTTTTGAGATTGGGTTTGACCTTCAAATAATGATAAAAGCAAAAAGATATAGGATTTGAAACAGCTGGGTGGTGAAGTTGCTTACTAGTAATTGTGGAGGTGGATAAGTGCTGATTGTATGTGTTGACTGTTAGTAAATATAGCCTCCTCTAAAAAAATAAAAGACTATCTCACCACTGAAATGGAGGAATCTCACCCACAGCTTAATTATGAACTTATATTAGAAGCAATTTTGGAAGCAAAGTATATATGAAATCCTGGAGAAACATTAAAGATTACATCTCTGAACCACAAATTGAATCTCAAATCCTAATGGATCAATCTACAGGTCAAGGAACTAGCTCTAGAGAGGCCTATATGCAGCAATATACACAACTTAAGGAGACAGAGGAACAAGTCACTGAGCAAATGGATGATAATCTACAATTTATGGAGAAGTTTGAAGATCAAAGACTCTAACTGAGACACTTGCAGTGTTAAAAGGAATAGGAACTGATGCTCTGATACGAATTACTGAGAATAGTTGACATCGTGGATAATCAACTTGTGACTATAACACGGAAACAAACTATCTACACTATACAGAGGATATTGGAAGAAGGGAAAGAGAACTTGGCCCAGACTGAAGTATTGATAAGTACCCTCACTCAAATATTGAGACTCGACGATATAGAAGCTCTATTATGGAAACTGGACTGGCACAGGAAGAAAGTCAGAGTTAGATTTAAAAATGTGATTTAAAATTTTACTTGACGGGTAAATAAGGCTTTAGAGATCTTAATTGAATAAAGATTAATCAAATATGTGAACTTAGCTGAGTTAAAGCAAGAAAATATTGTACAGTCTTGGTTTCAGTATACTCAATTGTTGGGTAGGTGGAAGTTAGATCAAAAGGTTGGTATTACATTAATGGAGGAGAATTTGGTAAAACAGATTAAAGATCAAAATCGAGTGCATATAAAGAGAATTTATAATGCTTTAATAGAATTGGATTCGGAAATGGAATTAGTTAAAGACTGTATGGTAAAGTGGGCCCAAAATATTCAAGAACCGATTTCTCTGGATATATGGGAGGTAATTTGGGTTAGAAATGTAAAATTTACTCAGGCCCAAAATTTAAGAGAAAATTTTTACAAAATGTTCTATAGATGGCATCTGGATCCTAAAAAGTTGTCTTGTATGTATTCTAATTTACAGCCCAAATGTTGGAGATGTGGTAGTTTGGATGGTACTTATTTTCATATCTGGTGGACTTGTAAAAATATAAAAGCTTTTTGAATTAAGATTTGGTGGAACATTCAAAAGATTTTTAAGAGAAAGATAAAGTTTACTCCACAATTATTTTTACTGGGTGTTATTACAGATTGTGATACTAAAGAAACTAATTTGATGTTGAATTTCATAATAGCAGCAAGGTTATTGGTAGGGCAATATTGGAAGAAGGATTGCTTGCCTACTATAGAAGAACGGACGCTTAAAGTGTCAAACTTAGCAGAAATGGCTAAGATTTCTGCTTATTTGAAGGATCATTCCCCAGAAAGATACATTTCGATTTGGAGAAGATGGATAGATTATATTCAGAATAAATATGGGACTAAAAAGTTCCACTTGTTTATGAGTAAATCTTAGAGTATTATTAATAGTTTATTATAGTGGAATATTATTATTATTTTTAGTATTAGTATTGTTTAACAATTTGGATTTTGTATTGTTTAAGAATTAGTTTAATAATTAGAATATTATTTTTGCTTATGTTTTTATTATTATTATGTTTACTTTTAATTTGTTTATATTTATGCTAAAGGGAAGTTAAAGCGCATTATGGACTTGGTTATTGGTATAGTTGGTTAATGTTAGTTAGATTATGATTATTATAATTGTAACCCTGTATTCAGTTCTGGGAAGTGGGGGAGGGAGAGGGGGGGTTAAGGTGGGTTGGTTTTGGGGTTTATATTGTAACTTTTATAAAACTCTTCAATAAAAAAATATGTGAACTTAATAAGAAGATGTTTTTCTATATTAATATGTTTGTTGTGGATATAACAATTATTTGGATCGGATTTAAATTTTATTGAGTGGGTTAAAAGAGTTTTTTAATAGGTAGAGATTGATTGATAGATTATAGATTTAAAATAGAGTAGAAATATATTTTTTGGAGTAATATTCTTATTTCTAGGAAGGATAGCTATTTTGTAATGAAAGGAGAATAAGAGGGATTTCTGATAAAAGAAAAAATGGTATTAATAAATGAGTTACTAGATTAAAAAATAGAATACTTGTAGAAAATGTAAGAATGTTATGGTTGAAATAATATGTATATTTTAGAGATAAGGATTATGATAAGGAAAAAGGGAAAGGAAGGACACCTGAAGTGTTAATAATATGTTTATCTAAAAGCCAAATTGGAATATGGTAATTGTAAATAGTAAAGCTTAAAAACAGGATTTGGATTTATACAGATGAAATGTTATTGATGATTGTTCTGACTGATTGAATTTGTTGGAATATTCATGAACAGGAAGAGTCATGTGGTAACTCAGTCAGCCAATGTGAAGAAAGTGCTACTGAGTCTGTGCAAAAGGAATATTGAGTTAGGAGCTAGATTTCCAGTCTCAAGGTTTTGTCTCTGGTCTGTCTCTGAAAGAAATCTTCATTAAGCTATGTTGCTGTAAAGAAGAATGGTATTGTAAATATTTTTATATAAATATAAAGTTATTTTGAATCAGCTAAATGCAGTCAACTGTGAGAGCTTCTGATTTATTTTTTTACCAATAGAGAAATAAAAATTCTCTAACAGGTTATGGGCCCAGAGCTTACTAAGGACTGCATTGTAATTTAAAGCTGGAAGAAATTGCCTGTGTTTAGAAAGTATAAGAACAAGGCAGAATTAGCAGAATGGCTGCAATGGAATTTAAGGAAAGCTGTGTGCCTCATTTAGGCCAGAAGAATTACATTGTGTGGGCTGCAAAAATGGAATGTTTGCTGAAAGCTAAAGAGCTGTGGTATATTGTTGAAAATCCACCACAAGTATTTGCAGCTGCAGATCAGAAAAGCCATGATCAAGCTATGGCTTATCTCACCTTGAATTTAGATGATGATCAATTTCTAAATGTTGCAAATTTAAAGACTGCAAAGATTTGGTTGAAATTGAGAGCTGTGCACGTGAATGTTTCTGCATGCAATATAGTGCAATTGTCAAGAAAACTTTACAGGGCCTGTTTGCAACCAGGTGAATCTGTGGAACAGCATTTAAATAAAATGCAAAGTTTATTTTTGGACTTAGAACAACGTGGGATTAAATTCCCTGAGTCCCAGAAGGTTTTATTGGTGTTGAACAGTTTAGATAAAACCTGGGACACAGTTTCTGCAATATTTGAGTGTAAAGAAGAGCAAGACTTAAATTTTGAGGCTTTAAAGGCATGTTTGCTTAATGAAGAAGAAAAACGCCATTTTAGAAGCAACCATGAGGAGGAGAAATTACTGAGGAGGGGGTCCAGATTGCAAGTCTCCAGAGGAGAAGAAACAAGCAGATCAGACCCGGACCAAATTGCAACAAAGGAGAGATTTTGCAAGCAGAGAGCTGCTCAGCGGGAAAAGACTTGCTACAATTTGCAAAAAAAGACATTTGTACAAGGAAAAAGGACTGCTTTGCAAAAGGAACATTTTGGTGTTGCAAAAGTTTGCAATAGCAACAACAGAGACAAGTGGCTAATAGATAGTGGGGCAAGTCAAACAATTGTTAATGACTCTGAATTATTTTGCAGGTTTGTTCCAGTAGCACAAGAAGCTGTGGCTTTGGCAAATGGCCAGAAAGCAAAAGTCATTGGAAGAGGCGATGTAAAAATTCCATATTTGGAATCCAAGTTTACCAATGTGCTTTGTGTACCTGAGATGGAACATAATTTGCTAAGTGTGTCTAATTTAGACAAACAAGGTTTTGATGTCATTTTTGTAAATGGGAAATGTCTCATCAAAAGGAATGGGAATATTTGTGCAGAAGGCATAAAGGAAGATAATCTATATGTATTGCAGGGACAAAAGGTTCAATGTTCCCATATATTTAAGAATGTTGCAGAGCATGATTCATGTGTTCATCTTCTACATCAGTGGTTCTCAACCTGTGGGTCGGGACCCCATTTGGGGTCGA